ATATATATACACACACACACACACACACACAGAGATATGGTTGTGTGTGCAAGTATACAGGCATGCCCACATAGTTATGTACACACGTGTAGGTAAGTCCATGAACCCATGGACATACATGAACACATATATGTAAAAATGCATGCATGCTATTTGCATACCCTCCGAGAGTGGGGGAGCTATGAACAAATGGGGAAATGGAAGTTGGTATCTGGGCTTGGCTTAGGCTCACAATCTACCCAAAACCTTTGCTCAGAAACAAAGGCCTTTATCCCTGATTTCTGGAAACTGTAATCATCTGTCCACAGCTGTTCTCTCCAGATACCCACAGCTGTCTACAGCAGACCCTGCATGGCCACCTAAACTACCGAGGCTTCTCAGCAGTCCAAGACAAAAAAAAAAAAAAAAAAAAAGTAAAAAAAAAAAAAAAAAAAAAAAAAAAAAAAAGACTTCTTAATAGGCTGAAGGAGGAAAGGATGTTGAGAAAAAATAACAACGAAACCACCCCCAGCCCTCCTTGAGGTATTTACCCTGGAAAATGTGTTGGATTCATAACAAGCAAGCATGGATCCATTCGGTATGGCAATCCAGTGAGGTTGCTATGTTGTTATTGTCAGCATTAACTCCCACTCCTGACAACCACATGTGTGCAGAGTTGAAGTGGTCCCTATGAGGGCTTTTAAGACTGACATTCCAGAAGCAGATGGCCAGTACTGTCTTCCAAGGGACCTCTGGGTGGTTTCGAACTGACAAGCTTTTGGCTAGTAGTCAAGCACATAGCTGATGGTGCCACCGGGGGCATATAATCACCCCCAGGTTTATGATGTTCATAAAGGGTAGGCAGTATTAAGTGGTGGCCTTGAGATTTGAACCCAAAGCTACATGACTCCAAACCCATAATCTTCGCCTCTATAGGAATGAGGGGATTTGACATCTACGCTACATCTGAAGAAAATGGAGGTATGTATAGGATGAAAAGAAAACCTGGGATAGAAGTACCAACAGGAATCTGAGCGTCTCGAAGATCCACTATGTTGTTGCTCTGCCTCGACTTAGTTCACGAGCCGTAACTTAAGGCAGAGCTGGTGCTTGTTGGCGATCCAGAATCACATGCTCGCGGAGCCTACCAACAGACGCTTATGCCAACACCAGGACCTGATGTGAAGGACTGTCTGCAGCCATACTGTACCAGTCAGGGTTCCATAGCTTGAAGATCCTACCACCCCTGCCAACATCCCCATTCAAAGTCTCCCTGCCTTCCCCGTTTTCTTTTTATCGCAGTGACACTGGCTACGGAGATGAGACGGGTTATGTTGTTCATCTGCAAAGTATCTATCGCACGAATGGGACCCGGTTCCTGGCCAGTAAGTCACTTCTATCAAGATGATGACGATTTTTACATTTTCATAAACACAGCCACTAATTTTCATAGTTTTATGAATGTGCTAAATATGTGTACTTGCTTCATTCTGATATGTCAATTCAAATCAATTTGTTTAATACTTTTTCTCCAGAAAGCTATTTAAGAACTCAGAGGGCTTAGCATAAGCCACACATTAATCCAACATAAAAGAAAAAGCTATTTATATTCAAATTAGAGGAACCAAGGAAAATGTCTCTATTCCACTTTGTCCTAAATTCTGATGGTTCATTTGACATTCATCAGTGAGTCATTTAAGCCTTAGTTCCCAAATCCGTAAAATGGGAACGCAGAGATTATTGTGAATGATAAGGAGAAAGTTCTTTAAGCACACAGTAAATACATACAGACTATGTTAGTTTCCACCCAGTTCCTCCATTGAGTGACATTTAAAAACAGCACAAAAACAAACAATCGGCATCAAGTTAAATGAAACTCATAGGGGACCCGTGTGTGTCAGAGCAGAACTGCACTCCAGAGGGTGTTCAATAGCTGGTTTTTCACAAGTAGATCGCCAGGTCTTACTTAGGAAAAGCCTCTGAGCAGTCTTGAACCACCAACCTTTCGGTCAGCAGCCAAGTGTGTTAAACTATTTGCATTACCCAGAGACTCACTCCATCAATTGATACAGACCCCTCATAACCAACTCAAGAGTCTCCTAACTTCACAAGAGCAGTGGTCCATAACAATGATCCAGGACAATAAGAAAGCCAGAGGGGTGAGCAACCCAATGTCTGATGGACAACCTTACAGATAAAGGCGTTGATGGTAATCTGGAAAGCAGTTTCCTTCTGAGAACGTGACAATATGAAGATAAGATTTGAGGAAGAAAAGATCAGGAGGTGACTGGTACTCCACTCCTATAGTGTTTCCAACATTAATGGTAAGACTTACAGGTGAGTCAGGTCCCGGAGGCCACGAAAGGCATTTCTTGAAATGGTTTCGATTTTGTTCCCTTCAATGAACCTAAGGAGAAAAGTTGTACAATTAAACCACATTCTGTCTGCTTATTATCTTTAAAGAATGATACTGGTCTGATTTCTGAAAAAAATCTAAAAACATTCATGAATGGAAGAGATTTATCTCTAGAGACCAGGTAAGCAACACCAGAATCCAGGTGGGAGCTGAGCACAGGTACAGGACATACCTTCTGGAGCACATATCCTATACTCCTTGCAGATACAGCATAAGACAGAAATAGAAATTAAAAAAACCACTGCTGTGAAGTGGATTCTGACTCAGAACAACCCCTACAGGACAGAGAAGAAGTGCCCCTTGGGGTTTCCAAGACTAAATCCTTACGGGAGCAGACGGCCTCATCTTTCTCTCTGGCTACAGCTGGTGAGTTTTGAACCACTAATGTTGTAGTGAGCAGCTCAATGTTAAACCCACTATATCACCAAGGCTCCTAGAAGCAGCCTGGAAGTCTTCGAATTCAGAGTTAACCATACGGATTAAAAACATCTCGGGGGAAGAAAACTGCAAGCACTATACGAAAGCAAGAAAGTCTCATCTGTGTTGTTCTGGAATGCCTCAAGCCTTCCTTACTCAGTCCCTCTAAACATTTCACAAAGTCAGGCTACTCATCCTTTGGTTAAGATCATTGTCCCTTGAAGGGAACCACTGTTTTACATCTATCTCTATATTGAAAATTTTCCAAGGGAGAATGCCATTTTGCTTGTTTTCCAGCAACTTTGAGCTCATCATGCCCTGTTGTTGGTGTTAAGTGCCGTTGAGTCGGCTCTAACCCAGAGCGACCCTCTAGAGGTTTCCAAGGAACGACTGGTGAGCTTGAACCACCAACCTTGCAGTTCAAACTGACTGTGCAGTCTAGCGCATTAACCCACAGCACCACACCAGGACTCCCATCATGCCCTACACAGTCTGAAATCGGAGCAAATGGGAGCCAGCACAGGAATATTCTCAAGATCTCTAAGCCACCAGGAAGTAGAAAGGACAATGAAGTTGGAATCGACCTAATGGCAGTGGCTTTGGTTTGGGTTCTGGAAAAAAATTCCTCCGGAGACAACATTCCTCAAGACATCAAGTCAGTGGAGAGCTTTCTGATGTTTAGAATTCAGACATCTACCTGTTGACCTCAGATAAGCAGCAAAGATGACAATATATTCCCAAGTGTTTTGTGTACATCCGAAAGAAAAAAAAAAGGGGGAGCATAGAAGCAAATACTGTTGAATGATGATGCACGGAGATTGTAATCATTGCAATGAAACAATGAGTGTAAAACCGATGTTCTCCCATGTAAACTAACACTTGGTTCACAATAAAAATTTTTTTTTTTAGGTCCCTTAGAATACTAAGTAAGGAAATGCAATCTGATCACGGGATTAATATTATTACCAAGTTTGAAGAGAGAAAGATGGAAGAAGTTAAGGGTGGTGGGGAGAAAGATGAAAGTAATAAAAGTCAGGACTCAGAAAAAGGAGACAGCAGGCTTTTGTTCTTTTCATTGCTAGGGGAGAAAAAAACTGCATCTCAGAAAGAGAGGAAAAAAATGTTTTTAAGGTGAAAATCAAATCAAATCAGACCCTCATCATTAGCCTACAGGAGAAACTACAAACAGAATACAGGCAGCTGAAGTCGTGTTTCCAGATAGGAAGGTTTTCTTTAACATAAGTAAACCTCAGAACTCTTCAGCCCAATTTCTGACTGATCAGCAAATCTGTGCCTAGTTACAAAAGGTAAAAATATCCAACTCAGTTTCCAGTTGTGCTTACTACACGGTAAATGAAATGTCAGCAGAGAATGAATGAATATTTTCCTCCTTTGTCTCCTTTCCCTCTGTTTGCCTGGCCTCTTCCTGCCCCAGCATGTTTATAAGCAAGTCAACTTGGAAAGGTCAGGGCTGAGAAGAGAAGGGGGTTCCCTCCATTCTCTCCACCCCTAAACTCTCACCGAAAGAAAGCTCCACAAAGGAAAGCCACCCAGAAATTCCACTGAGCTAACAAACACTCAGCAAACAGACAAAACACAATACTTACAGGTATTCGAGATGGAAAAGCCCAGCAAAAGCATCGTCCCGGATGACAGTGAATGAGTTAGAATTCAGCAATCTGAAAAGAAAAGGTTGATTTCAGTGCAGAGATGTAGAGCGTAGGTGATGTGGGAGAGTCATTGCTCTGTTCCGATGTGTGGGCAAACATGGGCTCTTCTTGCACCAAATGATGGTACAAGAGGTGTACAACATTATCCTTAGACAGCTAATGGACCAGGCAAGCAGATTCCCTTTGGCCTAATTTTTAAGTTATGTCCATGACTCTTCCCTTTCTCCCCCGTGAGTCTCAGTAAAAATATTATTTTAAAATACTGTAATGTTTGGCATAGTAAATGCTTTATGATGAACAGAGGATCATAAAACTAGGGATCTAAAAGGATCTAAACCAACTATCTTTTTAGAGAACTTTGAGTCCAGAGAGGTTAAGTAATTTGAACAAAGTCACACAGCTGAAACAAACAAATATCAACAATAAACCTTTTCTACTCTAACATACATTGCCATAAGAAATCATAATAAAAATAAAAGTGTAAGAAACCTTCAGAATATTCTTTATCACTATGTATTTTTCTACATGAGTATGTACAGAGGTGGTGGCAGTGTGCGCTTGAGTCATTTTCAACCCATTTGTTGTTGTTATTGTTAAGTGCTGTTCTGACCCATAGTGACCCTGTATAGGGTTTCCAAGGAGCAGCTGGTGAGCTTGAACCACCGACCTTGCAGTTCAAATGACTTTGCAGCCTGGAGCATTAACCCTCAGCGCCCTGTATATAGGGTTTCCAAGGCTGTAAATCTTTACCACAGCAGAATGGCTGGTAAGTTCGAACTGCTGATCTCGTGGTTAGCAACCCAATTCATAACCCACTATGTTACTGGGTGTATACTCAGCCATTGCATAGTCTACTTGGCAAGAGAATACCTACAATTGCATTTCTATTATGTAACAGGTTTAAACCTGTTAAACAAACAAGGGTAGACTTAACAACACCATTTTTGTTTTTTAATTTTGATACCAGTGAAGAAACCAGTATAGAAAAGAGAAAAATAAGCTATGTACTTGGGACTTTGTCTAGCATTGATTTGCTATTCAAAACTGCTTTTTGGATATTTCTTCTCATTTCCTGAAGACATGGGCACTCACGCTGTGACTTGGGCACGTGGTAGGACCCAGAGTGGTTAACTCAGAGTGGTTATGAGCGAGTGTTTGGGGCCCTGGATTTGAATCCTGTGTTTGGGGCAAGTTACTAAGCTTCCCTGTGTCTCGGTTTCCTCATCTGTCAAATGGGGGCTATTTATTCTGTTAGGAATGATGGGAAGAATAAATTCTGCATACAAATTAGAGTACGCTGTCCAACACTTTCAAGTACTCAGTGAGCTACTCCTATCCCCAGAATACCATTAAGGCTTAATAAAGTCAGTTTTCTAGACCTTCTACGGCCTTAAACACTTTTGCTCCCTCTCTTGTGAAGAGTTTCCACTGGCTCAGAGCTGCCTCTTCACATGTGGAACAGAACTGCCCAGCCACCACCCAGACAAGCAGTGAGAAGCAGAGGCACCCAACTAAGCCCACCCTAGGGGAGCCAATCCACCCAGACCACCTAGGAGAATAAACTATTGATGCATTAAAAAAAGGCACAGACTATCAATCACTTGGATTGGGATCTCAGCAGAAGGTCCTGGATAGAGTAAAGGAGAATGCAGAACAAAATTCAAAATCATAAAAAGGACCAGGCTTACTGGTCTAAGAGAGACTGGTGGAACCCTCAAGACACCATTCAAGCTTGGATCTAAACCCACCCCTCCCAAGCCCCC